GTAACAAATAAGTTGCTATATATAATTTCTGTTTTCTTTTTAGTTTTAAAGACTTATTTTGTTCTCTATTATGTGGTCAGTCTTCAGAAATATTCTATGTGTGGCTGAGAAAAATTTGTATTTTGTTTTTGAAAAAATCTTCTGTAAAATGCTGGTTAGTTTATTTGGATTATTGGATTATCTATGTTCTGTGTCTTTTTTTTTTCTTTTTGTCTAAATGATCTGTCCAAAGGTGAAAGTACAGTGTTGAAGTCCACATGAAGTAGCACTTCACAATCAGCATTTCTGTTCATATCTAGCAGTCTTCCTTTCTGATGTTGAATGCATAAAGTTTTATGATTTTTATATCTTCTTGGTGAATTAATCTTTTTAATACACTATGCCCTCTGACTCTTTTTACACTTTTTTTTATAAAAAAGGTTTTACAATAGGTTGCATGCATTCTTATCAGAAGGAGAGAGAAGAAAATTCAAAACTCACCCCCCAGAAGGGATGGCTACACTGCCATCCCTTCTCCTCCATTTTCCTCTCAGCATGTTTCATATGCATGCTCATGAACTTGGTGTGATTTTCAAGCCTCCAAGTTTGGGACTAAAACTGCACAATCAGAAATTTGGGACTCATCTGCCTTAAGTTACATGTACAAGCTTGTGTAGAATTTCTCTCTCTCAGATATATATATATATAAATTATTAAATTTTAGTTGTTATGATTATTTAACTGAATATATGGCACACGTATTCACTGAGCATTGGGGGATGGGTTCCAGAAAGCAAGACCAGTTCATGTTCCAGAACTCGAATCATGGTCAGATATGTAATATTCCAGCATATTAACCTGCCTGCCAGCTCCCTTGCCCTCATTTTTTTAATAATGTCTCTCTTTAATTTCAGTTGACTAGTACCATGCATATATTGTTAGTTATTGTGACAGAATATCTTTATCCATCAGTGTTTCTCTCTTAACTGTGATACTGCCACACACACCAAGTTATATATGTATAACGTTAAAGAATAACATCCTAAATCTCCTTTTATTGAAGGCATTTATTATAAATCACTATTTTTAAATATGCCCTCTGTGGATATAACACAGAATTTCTTTTGATAGAGCTGTGAATATTATAAAATATATTAGCACTAAGTCATTTTTTTAAATTTCTAGAATGGTAAAATTTTAAACCAACCTATGGAATGAAGTTTACGACAGCAGGATCCCACATGCCAATTGCACGGTTTGATTCCTGAATCCAGTATCTTGAGAATCACAGTAGGCACATGTACTTGCACAACCTAAATCTTGAAAGGAGGGAGAAATGGAGGAACATGAATTGTGTCATGAATATTCCTCCTTTATCAGGAAATATATTTTTTTTGTATTTCATTTTATTTTAACTTCTTTTATACATTGAATCACATATGTCACTTAGCTTGTAAAGTGAATGTTCCAATAGGAATACATTTCTCACCATTCCAATTGAGATTTTGTACTTTTTTCCCCAATCTTGAATTCTCTTAAACCTACCAGTTGACCCCAGGTCCACTGTCATTGATTAGAATAGTTTCATCTGTCACTCGAATTTCTTTTTTTTTTTTTTCATAGAGAGGTTTTTGCTACAGGGTGTGTGCGCTTGCAAGAAAGAGAGAGACAAGAGAGCCAGAAAGTGAGAAGTCACTCCCCTAGGGATGATTTCACACCGCAATCCCTTCTCTTCCATTCTCCACTCAGAATCTTGGGCACACACTTACACACACACAGTGTGAGTGTAAGCCATTGGCTCCAGGATTCAAACTGTATTCGACTATGTGGGAGTTCAGCGACATAGCCATTATACTAACTGCTGGTCTCACTATCACTTGAATTTCTGCTGCTTCCTAAATATTTGACTACTGAAACTTCAAAGATGATGTGCACAAAATTCATCTGTGTATTACTCAGTTTTTTCCCCAGTTTTAATTTTTAACTCTAATATGTATATGCCTACTTAAACAGAAATATTTAGTTAAATTTCTATTTTGATTCAGTTCCCAAAATAGTAGTAAAACTTTTTTCTGCTCCCCTCTTAATTTTTTTTAGGTGAGTTCCCTATTTAATATTCTTATTTCTCTGTGGTTTGATATAGGTGGTCACATCACAACTTGGTTTTAACCCTATTATATCTTGGCTTTAACTGTGTTACATCTTTCAGAGTATGCTGAGTCTTCAATCTGAGGATGGCAATTAAACTGCAAATCTGGTTATGTAATGTGTCACTTCTTTTGGCCTTTATATTATTTATACTCTGTGTTTTAGCAAATGATAAAGAGATATTCATCTTTATTTGAACTCTATCAATATTTTTGAATGCACAACTGAAGTATAAAGATGCTTGTAAATATACTTTAGCTTATGAGTAATGAGCAGTATGCACATAAAATATTTTATTGGAATTAGGTTAAGTATTTAAATACAAAATCACTTTGTAATCACTTCCTTGAACACCTTTACTGACCTTGCCTTTCATCCCAGACCAGGAATAACTTACCTACATATACTGTTTCTACTGCTATTAACATTAGGAATACACTTGGTGCTTTCATAGGATGACTGCTATAGTTCTATTTTCATAAGAAAATTTACATATATGTTCTTAATATCATTGGCTTGAAGAACAAATTAATAATACAGAAAAAAGAAATAAAAAAACCTTTGTATTTTTTTTAGACTGGTTACCATCAAGTTGTGTCTAATTTACTTAATCTAACACATTACTCCAGATATATATTTATACTCATGTGTTTGTATGAGAAAATAAACACCTTGACATAGCAGAATATTTATTATGCTTTCATCCCTTGCTGCAAAAACATTTGGAGTTCTCTGAAGAAATACTTGTAATAAATTTAGCAATGAATAAGTTACCAAAGAGATAGAATGTTTGTACTATGTTTTTTTTCTCCCTCTACAAAGAGTTCAGAAATATACAGAGGAACAAGCATATACAAACATATAGAGAAAGTAAATTTCCCATGTTATGCTCTATTTCTTAGGGCTGATGAGGGGAAATGTATTTTTACAGGGGTTCATATTATTTGAGGGTGTTGCTATGGACTTTACCTGGGAGGAGTGGCAGGACCTGGATGATGCTCAGAAGATTCTATACAAGGATGTGATGCTGGAGACCTACAGCAACCTGATATTTTTGGGTTAGTGGAACTCCCATGAAGCCATCTGAAGTAATTACTGTCTCCTTTTATAGTAAATGTACAAGAGTTTCATAATGTCTAATGCTGTTTAGGAATGAGATTTTATTCTGTGGTTAATGTGTGTGGCACTCCTCTTTAACAAAATGTGGCCCAAATCAAACCTTTTTGCACAGCTGATTAAACTGAACTGTTGTAACTCTTCAAATACCTTACATGAATAGTTTGGCAAAATTCCACACTGCTTTTTATTAACAGGACAATGCATTGCCAAACCTGCAGTGATCTTCAAGTTGGAGCAAGGAGGAGATCCATGGACATTAAAAGAACTTCCCAACTTGAGCCTCACAGATTAGTCAGTGCATAGTTTTCAGGGACTAGTGAAATACATTTTCTTTGAAAGAATTTATATTGTATTGAGAGGGGAAAACAAAATGTTAGTACTAGTGAGGTTAGAAAAATTAGAAATGTTTTCCTGGGATAAGATGTGAAAAGAATGGGTATATAATTTTTAAAGGGTCCTTCAGGATGGCATATTTAGGGTAATTAGTATGTATTTTTATTGGCTACAAGTTCTTCCTAAGTAACATTTCTTCTTAAGTGACAAGAGAGTTCTTTTTGACTTCTGCAAATAAGTGATCTAGAAAACTGTTCACATTAGTGAAGAAACAGTACTCAATACCCACCGTTATAAGAAAGGAAAGAGAAAAAGGACAGGAAAAACAAATGATGCATGGAAATCTTTCAGTGTAAAATTATAGGAAGACAGAAGATAGATATTTTGAATATTATAAAAGGTATTAAAGGAAAGGGATGCACAAAGGAACAAAGTAAATCGACCTAGCTTTCAAAATATTAATGTAAATTTCTACAGTAACATATTAAGGACAATGAACCATATTTCTTATTATAGATCAGTACCAATATTTGAAATATACATGAGCAGTGTAAAATAAATTTTCAAATATAATTTATGGAAAATTTTTTTTTGGAGAGGTTTTTGCCATAGGGCGTGTGCGTTCACCAGACAGAGAGAGACAGAAAGTGAGAAATCACCCACCAGGGGGGATGGCTACACCGCAATCCCTTCTCCTTCATTCTCCCCTCAGGATCTTGGGCAGACATGCACATGCATCCAGAGTGAGTTTTAAGTCACCGGGTCCAGGACTCGAACCACAGTTGACTACATGGAAGTCCAGCAACATAGCCATTACACTAACTGATTGTCCCTGTCTTTTTCCATTCAAAGAGGATGGATATGGAGAGACTGCTTGTAAATAAAATAAATATGGGAAAGCATGTGTTAAGATAGTTCTTATTGCCCAGTATATAGTTCAGGTGTGGAAGAAAGCATTTTACAAAAAGTCTTACTGTCTCATTCAGCAGAAGATACAAACATGAGATGCACACTATAAATGTAGAGAATGAGAAAAAGTATTTTTTGAAATTGTTTTTATAATAGATTTTAAACACAGAGTGGAAGGTTTCTATTCATATAAAGAGGAAGTGGAATCCTTATTGCAGAATTAAAATCTACCTTTTCCTCAGTGAATGCACACAAGGGAAACACCCCATAAATATAATAAACATCAAAAATTCTTTTTCCAGAGGTCAAAAATTATAAGCAGAGAAAGTACAGCAAAGTAAACCCGTATCATGTGTATAAATTACCAAAGCTTTCAACTGTTGTTATACATGAGACAATTCTTACTGGAGAAAAAATTTGTAGATAGAACAATATATGAATTTATTGTGTCTGAACACAGCCCTTTCTGACTGTCTGAATACTTATACAGAAGAGAAGCCCTATGAGTGTAAACAATGTAAGAAAATGTTTTCCCAGAATTCAGACCTCACTGTACATCAAAGGAGTCACATAGAAGAGAAATGCTATGAAAATAAAATATGTTCTACAAAAAATGTTCTACAAAAAGTAGAACATTTCTACAAGGAGAAAAACCCTTTGAATGTAAACAATGTGGGAAAACATTCTCCAGCAAGGGGTACCTAACTGTACATAAGAGAACTCACACAGGAGAGAAGCCCTATGAATGTGAACAATGTAAGAAAATGTTCTTCCAGAAGTCACATCTCACTGAACATCAAAGAATTCACACAGGAGAAAAACTCTATGATTGTGAACAATGTAGGAAAACATTCTCCAGAAAGGGGTACCTAACTGTACATAAGAAAACCCACACTGGACAGAAGTTCTATGAATGTGAACAATGTAGGAAAATGTTCTTCCAGAAGTGACATTTCACTGAGCATCAAAGAATTCACACAGCAGAAAAAAGCTATGAATGTGAGAAATGTGGGGAAACATTCTACAGCAAGTGGTACCTAACTGTACATAAGAGAACTCACACAGGAGAGAAGCCCTGTGAATGTGAACAATGTAGAAAAAGGTTCTCCTGCAAGTCAGTTCTCATTATGCATTGGAGAACACACACAGGAGAAAAACCTTATGAATGTGAACAATGTAGGAAGTTTCTCCTGCAAAGTGGGAAAACATTCTCCAGAAAGTGGTACCTAACTGTACATAAGAGAACTCACACAGGAGAGAAGCTCTATGAATGTGAACAATGTAGGAAAAAGTTCTCCTGCAAGTCAGATCTAACTAAGCATTGGAGAATCCACACAGGAGAAAAACCCTATGAATGTGAACAATGTGGGAAAATATTCTCCAGAAAGGGGTACCTAACTGTACATAAGAGAACTCACACAGGAGAGAAGCCCTATGAATGTGAACAATGTAGTAAAAGGTTCTCCCACAAGTCACATCTCACTATGCATCAGAGAACTCACACAGGAAAGAAACCTTATGAATGAACATTGTAGGAAAATATTCTCCTGGAAACCTGCACTCACTGTACATCAGAGAACTCAACACAGGAGAGAAACTCTATAATTGTGAACAATGTAATACAACTTTTTCCCAAAAGTCACATCTTACTTTACATCTGAGTACTCACACTGGAAAGAAACAATGTAGGCAGCATTTTACTACTAGAAGGCAGGGCTGATTGTACGTCAGAGGACTCCCATAGAAGTGAAACCTTATGAATGTGGGGGGGGCCTGCAGTTGCTGAAGGGATGGTGGTGGAGCACCCCATGGGGCCCCTGATCCTCTGACTCCCTCTGGGCTGGCCTCCACCTCTGCTTCCAAGTGTTTGTGGGCTGGATCACCTGTGGGGGAGTTCACCCTGCCATCTGGTCAGCCGGGCTGTGGCTCTGCCCAGCTCCCAGCTGACTGAGATGCTCTCTGTGCCCGGGGTCGTGCGGAACTACCCGCCCTCAGCAGTCTGGACGGTCCCCAGAGAAGATGCGCTCTATGTATTTCTCTGGGCAGGAAGTGATTATGTAACTAAAACATTTTCATCAGATTTCCTCCGATTTACCCTGAAGTTGGCTATAACAGAGACCAAGCTTTCAGGGTTCTGAGTTTTTGTTCTGTTTGGCCCTCGCAGTAGCTTGCACTGCCTCAGTCTGTGGTGTGTATGATGGATGTGGCATATGGGATTGTTTTCTCCCTTCTAGATTGTACCAGAGCTGCTGAACAGTTAAAGAATAATCCACGGCACAAGAGTTACCTGGAACAAGTATCCCTGAGGCAATTAGAGAAGTTATTCTGTTTTTTACAAGGTTATTTACGGGGTCAGAGTTTGGCAGAAACAATGGAACAAATTAAACGGGAAACAACTATTGATCCTGAGGAAGACCTGAACAAACTAGATGACAAGAAGCTTGCCAAAAGGAAGAACATCATTGACGAGCTTTTTGAGAAAAACCAGAAGAAGACGGATGATCCAGATTTTGTGTATGACATTGAGGTCGAGTTCCCACAGGATGAACAGCTGCAGTCCTGTGACTGGGACACAGAGTCGGCCTATGAGTTCTGATGCCCAGCATTCAGAAACATGCTGGGTTAGCAGAATATCCATGTTTATATGAAGAACATAGATAAAGTCTAGGACAATCTGTGAAGAACACCAAATGTACGTATTGGGTCAGAATTGGCTTACTTTTCAAACCAGGACATTTAGATTATTTATTCTGAAGGTACATGAGGAATATAGGAAAAACGAAATATGGGAATCTGCCCTTTAAAGAACTTGTAATCTAATTGGAAGATAAGTTAAAAAAATGTAAATAATCTGAAAAACTAACGGTACTAGGCAGCAGAAAGATTAGACCCAGATGCTTGCTAAAGACTAAACAAGAGCCTAGGTTAATGTAGGGTAGAATAGTCAGGGAAAACTTCCTTTTGGTGGAGAGATAGAACTATGCCTGGTCCTTGAAATGCTGATATTCAGATAGAAGCTTGAATAGCATTCCAGGTGAGAGCAACTGGAAAAGGGGGGAAAGAGGGTGATGAAGAGACAGGTAATAGATGTTTTTATTTGAGGAATAATAAGCAAATTATATCGAGTCGTCAGGAAAGTCATGCATTTTTGTATAGAAAAACACATCATAGCTTTCCCACCAACCTGATAGTTAAAGAAGAATGGAAGGCATATAATTATTACCAGAGATTTATCTGACTGCACTATGTATTTATGTGTATTTAACTGTTTAATGTATTTAGCTCTGGAGTAAAATGATGCCCCTGAAAAATGCCATGCAGCTGCATGTGAATGTGATTTGATGGACAGAAGGAGAATTTGAACCCTCCAGTATCAGGGAATACATACTAAAGACATTCTGAAACCCTCAACCTGTCCCATAAGTAAGAACTTTATTTGTAAATTGGGAAATCCACCCATAATAAATGAACAATTGGTACTGCCAGATTAGGCCTGTTTACAGGTTTGATCTATAATGAGAAGATCTTGGTTTAATGAAGTTATCTGTGTACAGATACATTTATTCTTATTAGAATATTATTTAACAGGTATTAATCCTGTTTTCTATAAGGAAGTTAATATTTATTAAACAAAACTCTAAAAATAAAAAAATAGGATTTTTTTCTCTTAGAAACTGTATTTAATAAGCATAAAAAAAGTCACACTGGAGAAAATCTTCATGTATGTAGGGATTATAGATAGTCTCATTTATAAGTCAGCCCTCAATGTACATCAAATAATTTACAAAAGAAAATGCCTGTGAGTGTCAACGTACCAATAGAAAAATTTCCATGTTATATGTTAGTCCTTACTGTATATGAGAGAACACAGGAGTAAGTGCTATAAATGGGAATAGTGTAGAAAAATGTTTTCAGCGTAATCATTGCATGTTTTACATTAGAGCACTCACAAGGAAGAGAAACCCTGTATGTGTGGGAATTGTAGTAAAACCTTGTTGAAGAAGTCACAACTTACTG